TTTGTTACGCCCCTGCTTACGGCAAAATATTGTGAGAATAACAACACCATTTCAGGTGTAAATGTGCTTATGGAAAAGCCAATGACGATAGAATTATTTGTTCTCACGACAAACCCTGAAAAAAACAGTGGGATAATCTATAAATCTCATAAACGTGAAATATTCTAATGAATTCAATGGATTTACTATCAATCGTATTTGATCAATACATATTTGATTTAAGTTTTACAACATGTGATATATTTCTATGTTACAGACCCAAGATGAGAGTGATGTTGGCTATCGTAATAGTTTGCTTGGTCGTGTCAACAGTGGCCAGTCCAAACAGGATGAAAAGAGGAACAGGAATTGTCCAACTTGAAGAAGGCCAACGAGCAATAAGATGTCTTAATATGAGACTAAAAGGTGCAAAAGGAGGGATAATGAGACAACAGGATCGTGGTCACTGTCATGGAAGATAAGATAGGACTGCAAATATTGCAGCCACACTGACATTTATCCCTGGACACAGCAAGATTTCAAAATCAATATATTTGTATGTAGATAGTATCAATGGATATAAAGTCAATAATGCTAAATATATATCAAATATTAAAATAGTTCACATTAGTAATAACAATTTGGTTTGGTTTGGTTTTATGTTTGTTTAACGTCCTATTCACAGCTAAAGTACTGACGACAGTATGACCCAATTTGGGTATAATTATGATCAGAAGAAACAAATTTTACATCTACATGTACGGAAATCCAAAATAAAGAGAAAACAGTTTTGTGAAGGTATTTTTATTTTAATATTTGTAAGATTGAACCCATAACAATTGCCAAAAAGGTAGAGAATAAAAATTATGACTTAAATCTTACGTTTTCAGATTGAGGAACGGTATATCACGTTTTTATTTATAAGTCAACGAGCTATTATTGAAGATAGTGACATTGGTCTAGGTCCACAATTATGTAACATTCTGCGATATTGATTGAAGATGATTTAATCAAATTTCATACAAATATAAATCAGACGGTCAGTGTAAGAAAGCTGAGGTAAATGATAAACGGTTATCTTTCTCACTCAGTAAGTTTTATGTCGGCTTATCGTCTATTGATGCCTAGGTAACCAAATTGAGTCTTTTGTTCCAATGAATGTTCCCCTGTGTCGACCTTAAATCGTTATTTACAATATATACTACCACCTATCGAACTGCCACCATAAGGGGTCACAAAAATGTTGGGAATCAATATTGTACAAACTACTATTGAAACAAAAGGGCATATGCATAAAAACCTTTATTCGTGATTTTTTTTAAAAGTAAATGAGTAATGGCTTATTTTAAATTAAAAAATCTGTAAATTGTGTATATTATGAACCATGCCACTGCGCAAAGGAGATAACTGTGGCCATCAAGGTTACAGCAATCATGGGGAACTAAGAATCCACCAGCAGAGTCTACCACCTTGTTTCTTGAAAGGCGAACGTTAACCCATCCTCGATACTCCATGGGCTACGCTCACTTTCGCTCTCTGCACCCCTGGAATATATAATAGAAAAATCGAAGGCTCATTGTACAGCACCTTGTAGATGAGACGAGAAGACTAGTTTGATCCCTTGATGTACATCAAACGACTCTCGCAGTCGCGTAACGGCAAAACTTACCAGCTTTGAAGTCGGGCGTCGATATTCTGTTATCTTCAAAGGACAAGTATCAGCCTAGTGATAGATCAGGAATGTTTTTTACCTGATACCAATCAAATAGCTAGCCGCCTGCCTTAAATTTTGCTATTACATGTTCCAGGGGGCAAAAAGCAATGAAATCTTTAACATTTTGATAATAGGTTAAATCAACACAGAATTGGTAAGGCAAAGGAGACCAGTACATGTACCTCTGCCGTGATTATGATTAATGCAAACCAACACAAAGTGGGAACAGTTTTATACAAAATCTCGACATGAACCAAAGGGATTGTCTACAAGACGACGTTTTAATGAACTGTATCCTAGATAAAGTCTGGTATGAGATATTCCTTCATTCGTTATACTTTGAAGTGAACGTCTTGCTGAGTATATAGATTTTAAGCACGTATGTAAACCGAGACATCAAAGAAAAGAAAGATAGTAATGGAGCAGAACAAGCCATTCGGATAGATACAAAATGTATGTCTCGCCTGTGCCTCGCTTTGACCATCAATGCACCTATCAGAGAAGCTAACTTAAACGCAAAAACTTAATGTTGATTGAGATGCTGAACAATTCAATGGGCCATGAAATTGATGCATGGGTTGGGACGTACTGCCTCAGATGCATCTATGGTCAAAGTTTGGGTGATCTAGCACTTATGCTTTCAATGAAACTTAAACTTTAATGCAAAAACTTAATGTTGACACCGCTGTCGCCGGAAAACAACACCTTAGTCTCGCTTCCGCTACTTCGTCGTGGCGAGACAAAAAAAGGAAATAAAAAAGTATATAGCAACAGAAGCAACAGACCAATCTTTGTTTCATAGATGTAACATCAGCACCAGACAAAAAAAGCAAGCAACGGATAACGTAGCGGAGGAATCTTGCAAACAGGATGCGCCATATGTCGGACACAGCAAAATACAAGTTAGAAGGAATTTTAAATATATCAATGCAAAGTCGTAACGTTCGTCGTTAGAATATTCATTTACATGTCTTGTAAACACATTTTCACTTATCTTCAGCCTATGGTGATGGAAAGCAAATGTATGTGTTTATAACTAGACCACCGTCCTTGCAACAAACTGTTTGTTGGTCCTATTACGAGTTGCCTCCCTTACGAAACAGATTCTCTTATAAGTGCAATATTCAGGTGAGTTATCTACCTTTTCATGCTCAATGTCTTAATGCAAAAGATGGTTTCCTATAACATTGTACATTTTCTTAATGGTACTTTTTACAAACACTAATGAGATTTGATCATTATGAAGTAGAAGCTATATACCTTAATGTTAACAAACAAGGATCACTTGGAATACATATTTTAATACCCTCTAAATTACCACTTGCAATTGGAATACTCTCTAAATGGCACACACACACACACACACTCACTCACACACACACACAGGTAATTGCACCTTTAAACTTTGGTAATATATATACAATATGTCAGAAATAAATTACATGGCATCATACAGCTGTTTCGTCCTTCCAGGACTAATCGGTGATGGTAGGGGGCAAACAGTTGGAAATCTAAATTGTCTATAACTACCCATGAAACAGAGGAGCAGGTGCTCAAAACCCTTTAATCTATTAATTTAATAATTAAGAGGAGTACTGTATAATCGTTAATGATATAACCTGTAAAAAGCGATCAGAAAAACAGTACTAAAGCCGATTAGAAAAACAGTACTAAAGCCGATTAGGAAAACAGTACTAAAGCCTATTAGAAAAAAAAGTACTAAAGCCGATTAGAAGAAAAAAAGTTATAACGAGATTTTAGTGCTAAAATGCATGAATGCTACATGTACACTGTATACCGTCAACACGGCGTATGTAGACCACACATTGGAAAAGTGCTGTAAGTGTAATAATCACCCCTGTATGTGAATGTTGTTATTTCACCAACATTAATTTTACTTTGATGAGTTTCTAATAATCTAATAATTATAAGGTTTACATATAATAGTTGTTTTGCTACTAATACTCCTGAGCCAATTCTAGGGTATATATTGATCATTATATCCTACAGCTTAACAATGTTTAAGTATTATTACTAATGACTATAAATGTTTAAAATGCCCTTTTTTTAATAAAAGGCGTATTTGTCATCTAATGATCACGAAGAGGGAGTCTGTATTAATTGTTTCCTTCTTAAGGAATTAAAACTATCTGTCTATTAAACCACTTTTTTATAGAGTTGTTTGTAGGAAATGTCAAATTATATTTTATCAGATTGGATAATAAAATATATTTTAAGTAAATCAGTTGTTTACCCATTCACAGTTGTGTCTAAATAAGGATAACAATAATAGTTTCATTTACATAAATGCACACTGCTGTCCAGATTACAATTGAATTCACTTAATTTTCTGATTGTATGAAAGTCGAGCAGTAGTTATCGCCCAATGCAATAAGAAATGAGCTCTTAGATAGGGAGTTGTCTACCTTATCACGTAAAAGCAGATGTCTAAATAGCAAAACACAACTAATTTGGTAATTGTAGCATTTCTTTAATAAAATACACAATTGGTCACAGAGACTAATATTCTGTAGGGGATAAGTATCTGGTAAGAGATATGATGTAGTTATTACGAAGAAGACTATCTAAGGACATAGTCAATCTAATGTTTGGCAAAATTTCACATATAAAAATATATGTGGTTATTTTACTAACATAAAAGAGGTTTTTAACATTTTCATAAAATAAAAGTCATACGCCTCAGCGTAGACATCGAACTTCCAACTTGACACGAAAGGACGTAAACAGAAACCAAACAAAAGGAAAGACGAGAAAGACTGGAGAAAAAACAGGTGATCATTACGTTTATGCGTTTCCTTCACATCTTACACAGACACTGTCTTCGTCAACATAAATTCTGAACATTTAAAATAAACATAACTATAAATCTGTCGTCTCTACTCTGAACATATTACGTAATAAACGTATTTGGTATATCAGTTAAGCGATTATAGCTTTCTTCTAGTTTTGTTAAAATGGACTAATTTTCTGTTACACGTAATTTGAACTCCTTCCTTAAACCCTTTATTTCAACTTTAGATCAATAGCTTCCCGTATTTTATCATAATGTCTAAAGTCATTACGATTAAGAAGTTTATTTTGATGAGAAAAGAATGACGCACATAGTTTACATTGTCATACTGCAAAGAAAAATGTCGCACGGTAATTGGTCGAATTGCCAAGGTACCTGAAGCTATGTTTGCCGGGGTACATAAGAGCACGCGCGGCTGTTGTAAGGGAGATAACTCGAAGAATCGAATCGAACACATCGGAGAACGTTCGTCTGCTAATGTCAACAATGAACAAAATGGCGAAACGGTTTGCAAGCCACACAGAGAGTGAAATTGAGACAAAACGGGCTACACTTATACCTACAAACACAAAGAAAAGTAACAATTCAGCAAGCAAAACCTTCAGAGCATACTTAAGCGAAAAGGAGCAAGACACAGATTTTGAGGACGTCTCGAAGCCAAGATTAGACGAGGCATTGGGTCATTTTTATCTCGATGCAAGGAAACAGGATGGGAGTCTTTACAAGACGACAACGCTTGAACATTTTCCTCACGGACTTAACAGGTATCTGAAAGCTCCCCTTGTCTCGAAGAAATTTGATTTGTTAAAAGATCAGGACTTCCACGAATCTAACGAGTGCTTTAAAACTGCTGTGTCCGATTTAAAATCAAGTGGGAAAGGAGTAATAAATCACCATAATGTCATCTGTCCCTCAGATAGAGAAAAAATGTACACGTCGATACACATGTCGGCCGTAACACCGGCAGGTCTGGCCAATAAAGTGCAGTTTGACATTAGACTATACTTTTGTAGAAGGGGTTGTGAAAACATGGAAAAAATGACGAAATCAACGTTAAAAGTTAAAACAGACCCAAAAACAAATCTGAAATTTGTGACAAAAGACGTTAATAAGTTAACCAAAATTCACCGTGACGACAAGGAACTCTACACCGGACACATGCCAGAAGAACCTGGTTCGCCGTATTGCCCTGTCAAGTCTTTTGAGAAGTACCTGTCTAAATCGAATCCTAAAAACGACAGATTGTGGCAATTTCCGTTAGATTCGTATTGTGACGAGGATTATGTGTGGTATGCCAACCGTCCCATTGGAAAAGATACACTCAGCAAATGTATGTCCAACATGAGCCAGAAGTGTAAACTCTCTCAACAATATACAAACCATTGTATCCGCGCTACAGCAGCCACCATTCTCACTCAAAGTAACTTTACAGCGTCACAAATTATGGCAATCACCGGCCATAAATCGGTCTCGCTGTGTACCAACGTGTGTCAGACAATGAAAAAAAAAACTAACATGGGCAGGGCCATTGCGAGTGGAATCTCTCCGACTGCTGGAAAAGAGAACGTGCCTTCCGTTCTGCCTCCCACTGTAAGACTTGCCCTACCCCCATCACACCAGAAAGTGACGCCAGTTATTTCCAATACGGTAGCTACACGTCCTGATTTTGGTATTAGCCTTTCCGGTAACAACCAGGAATTGCCGCCAGATCTACAAGGTCTTGAACTGGATCAGCTGTTTAGTGAAATGTATGACCCGCACACGACGTCCGCACAGAGCGTATCGTTAAGGAACTGAGTTGTTAAGGAACTGAGTTGTTATTTAATGTTGTTTCAAAACCATATTGTTGACTTATTATAATTTAAAAATTTATTAAATTGTTGGAATTATACAAAAAATGTTTTTTCTGTTTTCCCGTACTACCGCCCTACACAGTATCTGTTTTCTTGCAAGCACGAGTCCCAACCTATAAATGGCTTTGCAGTATGACAAATTCGTTATACAGGTCTTGGTTCGGCTCAGGGTACATAAGGTCCTGACAGCGAACATGGGACCATGTACCCTGCCAAGAAGGCGAAGGGTACATAAGGTCCTGACGGCGAACATGAGACCATGTACCCTGCCAAAGACCTGTATAACTAATACTATACCATTTTGGGATATCGCTCCACTAGGTAAGTAAAATAAATCGAATGATTGTAAGATAAATTAATCAATTAATAAAATTATCAACTAATTGATAAATAAATGAACTGAACCTATAGAGGGTTACACACTCTACCTGAGCTACTACCTAAATGTGGTAAATATTCACTAGTGTATCTAACAATGCCTCCTTTAGTCGAAAGATACAGACATGAACAAAATACAAATCCTCACTCCTAGCGAGTACAACCTAAAGAAACGAATACCAAAACAGTACGGATTTTATAATTACCAGCAATGTTCAAAATACCAATTCTGTAACGATAAGTTGGTAGATTGATTGATCGAAGGATTTATTGATCTTTTATTATTTATTTATCGATCTCTTTATTTAATAACTGTATTTGTGATTGACGAATTGATTTTCTTTGAGAACTGCCTTATTGGTAAGATCGATAGTCTGGAGTAAATAACCACTGGACCAATGCTTCATAATTAAGAAATGCACGTAATTCTCGGAATCAATTTCATCTTAAAACGGTTGTATAAAAGTGATAATACCTACTGTAAGTCCCTCACTATACAGTGGGCACGATCAGCGTCCATATGTAATATACTGTGAAATCTCTAACTTTCGTGGGCATTTAATTTCGTTGATATTGTTGAGTAATCTTCACTCACGAATTCATAGATCCATGAAGTAATTAGAAGTTGAAACAAAGCAAAGCTTCGTTTAAAAGGTTATAGTGTTCTCGTAATTCATAATGTCATGTACCGATAAAATGGAAATTTGTCGGAAAACCACGAAATTTGGGCCGCGCGAAAATATCTGATTTCACAATACACTCATTGAGGATGATATAGAATATTATTGTGTACTCCATAAAAAAGAGTTCAACACGGGAAAGTGACAGAAAATGCTTTTTCAGAACGACTAGTTGACGTGTTTACTGTCAAAACTCAGGTACTGTAACGAGCATGTGACCAGGACACACATACACAATACAATAGTGAACATGCAAATTAATTGATAAAAATCTCATCATTTAATAGATTTGTCTTTTACAGAGATCTGATTAGGGTTCTCCTGTTAAAAAATCAGACTACACAATAAACAAATGTTTCATCCCGGAAAATATCATATTTACCCCTTCAGAATAACAAAGCATTCTATTTTGTCCAGTTGGTAAAATGAGAACATTGGAGGAGAATTAAGAAATCAATCAATTGTTTAAATGTATTTACAGTGTAAAGTAAACACTCTATAACATGTGAACATCATTGTGTATTGTATGGACCTCTCAGATTTGTTAAATGCTCACGTTAATACAAAGCAATGCATTGCATTTCGATCAGATATTATCTTTGACTATGAAACAAACGCTTCCTTAAAACAAGATGACAACATTTGATAAATTTATTGTTAAAAAGTATCTGTTTAGAACAATCATTATTTGCGTCCTTTAAGACATATGAACTGAACCGAAAATGAAGTACATTATGTAACAACAAAACCAATACAATAAAGTATGGTTCAATGTAGTATGTTATTATAAACATGTTGGGCGTTTGTAAACAGGCAATCGTGATAGAAATATTATACCCGGTAATACGATGTCACTGGTGTGAGGCGCATTGTTTTAGATATCTAAGGTGTTGAGAAAGGTTGTCTGTGCATGTACATCAGTCCCATAAACTCTGCACGCAGCACTTATCACCGTGTGAAATGTCTGAAAAATACACCAATTTTACTTGAAAGATTTTTTTTTCTTTTTTAATTTCATGTAACTAACTTTATCTTTAGATAACTCGTGATTCTAAACATCATTCTTTTCTTTAGAGTAAATCTCGACTTTGTATTTCAAACATAATGTAAAATACTCACACAAAGGCCTTCAAATTTGATAATATAAGTATCATATTCAAATACTAGGTATATTGGGCAAGTGCAGAAAAAAAAATTGAGGTGTATAATCTCGGTGCAAAAAAAGTTTAAACTAGTTATTTCGCCCCTTTTGTTGGCGTAAAATGTACGATGTTGCATAACGTCTTGCCGGAATCTTTCAACTGATATTGACGACCTATTGCTACATTTGTAAATACCCAGTATTTTATACGGTTTAGGTTCTTCTCATCGAGTTAATACGAACACTTCATAAGGAATATAACTAAATTGTAACAATACGTCTATCATAATAGCATCACTAGCATAATAAATCATTTATTATCATGACAAAACAAATTGTATTTGGTCATTAAGCATGAAGCAATTCTTGTAATCATAACTTCATATGGGAAACAAATTGATATTTTTTCTCAAAATGTGAAATTAATGAGTGCAACATACGCATATGATGAATGATCAGAAATGTTCTGGATAAGCAAGCAAATATTCAAAGTATCTGAATTTTGACCATGTCCTTAAAACGTGTGTCTGGAGAAAAGAAGATGACACGTCGACTAGCCACAGTTCATTCGATTATGACAGCTAATTAAAATATGCATAGAATAAGCCACTCCATGGTCCAGACAAGCAAATAAAAATTGATCAAAAGTCTCAATTTTCACAAAGGCACCTATAGATAATCAGACGACACAAAATTTACTGATTGACAAATATAACCGTTTATTGTTAAGCTCAGTTTTACCACTGACCGTCAGACAAAAGTCCGGATATAATACAAGACCGCTACCTAATAAATGCATCATGACCAATGTTGAGGAAAACATGTTTCAGAATTTATTCTGATGTTTAAACTCAATTTGTCATAAGTAGTTATCAAGGTTTTGAAAATGTCATACCACTCTCAGTGGCGTGAAAGTCGTAGAAATTCCATGAAATCATCTTTAATCAACATTGTAGAATATTACTTAAAGATGGCTCTAGACTTATGACAGTATATAACATAAAACCTAGATATTCGAAGTAAGGAAACAATAAATTGTAAATGAAACAAATAGGTGTAAAAAGCCAAATAAAGTAAGCGTTTATTGCACCATATTGCATAACTCTGTATATTAATGTGTAATCGTTGTTATTCAAGGTCATTAATAATATACAACATTTGATGTAGCGCCTTATCTAGCTAACATAAGCCACTCTAAAGAGCTTTACAGTACATAGACATACAATTATCATATACATTAATAGATACAATTTTGAGGATTCGCAGGAGCTGCCTTATCAGGCGCTAACTACTAGTCCTATGCCACCTGGCTAATATCTCCTTATGTGTGTATGCCTGCGTGTGTGCTGGAGCTGTGTTGTGTTCTGTTTGTAGCAGGACCGTGCTTCCAACGGCATCACTTATAATGCCACCTCACTTGAATGTTACAGCACAGATACCGCAACATCCACCCCAGACCAATTTATACTCCACCTGGGTTGTAGAGCTGTGTGGGCAGGAGAAATACACACTTCTCTGAATATCCATGCGAACCCCGGAGTTTTAACCACTCGACCAATCCGCCCATATGCTCAATGCTTAAAGTGTTACATAAACGTATATACAGTTACAAAAAAAGGTAAAATAAAATGCCTTTGTAATGTTATAATTTATTTGTTTTTCTACAACAGACATCATTTTTAAACTAGTGTTTCACGTAAACCGTGTCAGAACGTATTCCAGCTACAAGATCAGAGAAAATCTCGTTCACTGAAAGTCCTTGTGATGTAAAACAAACTCCGGATATCACCACCGCGGGCCCTAATCCTGGTACCCAATAACAGATACCGGTGTATATGTGATTGCTATGTTAGCGTAGTTACATACCCTTGGTTAATAAACCATATAATCTCCCTCATTACAGGTCTATAATGAAAAACGTTCAATACTAATTGTCCTATTAGAGGGTATGGGTAATGGTGTGTAACGTCATTATGCCTTTCACGTGCAGGGATACGTCACGCATGAGTTATCCTTAATGACTAGGCCCACACGACAACATGTAGTCTAGCGACAATTATTCATCATTTAAATGATGTTTTAGAATATATTTTTTCGTTATCAAGAACCAAGGACATTGAAACCGGTATTCCTGTTTATAAATGTTTTAAGTTTTATTTTGGCTAGGGCAATGAACGCTAAATTTGTAAATATTTCCTGAAGACATGTATCATCTATCACTATTACAGGTTTTTTTGGTATAATGGAAACACTCTAAAACTGATAAATAATAAGCTAGATAGGCTCCGTATAAACGATTTTTAGATGACGCTTATGCAATCTCTAACTACGCTCAATGAATATTAAATAGTATATAATATTAGCCTATTTAATGTGCTGCGGCACAATGCCGTAGACTTACTATTGCATATAGACATTTTAACACATTACTTATATACACAGAGGATATATATACTGTTGATCAATTATTTTTATAAGCATTTTTGGCACGTATTTCTCGTTGTTCTGCTTTTAAACTGATATGGGTGGTAGGGTGGGGCACTGAATGGTTAACTCGCCTTTCACTAAGACGACCGTGGTTTTATTAGAAAAGGGTAAATAGGAAAAGTTAAGGGACACGATGTCGTGTTTTCTCATTTTACTTCTGTTTCCTCTCACATTTAAACACGCTACCTGCTACCATTCTGGCAAACAAAAACGATTAAGAGTTGGAATAGCTAGTTTCATAATATTGTAATAAATTAA